ACCTGATCAAGTTTATGATAGTCCACAGTCATTCTCCAAGATCCACCTGACTTTTGGTGACTTAAATGGAGTTCTGATAGGTATCACCACCACCCCTGTCTTTCAAGCCTTTCATGGTGGCATTAATCTCTACATTTTCCCCCAAGGATGTTATTTTATTTCTGGTTAACTATCTCAATGGGAAGAAGACATTCCAGGAGCTTGCATTTAGCCCTTCAATGGAATGCTCTCCCAAATGCAATTCAGTGGAGAACGCATAGTCTTTTTAACAAATAGTGCCAAAATAACTAGCTATCCAAATGAAAAATAACAGTAATAATATAAAGTTAGACATTTACCTCACACTGTGCCCAACAAATGAGCTCCAAATGCTTGACCTAATTATAAAGCTAAAACCACACATTTGTAGAAGAAAACTTAGAAGAAAAATGTTGTAACCTTGAGCTAGATGAACATTTCTTTGATATGCTTTAAATTTAAATTGGATTTTATCTAAATTAAATGCTTTTAATTGTCAAAAAAATACCATTAAGAAAATGAAAAGACAAGACATATACTGGGGGAACAAATGCATATTTGCAAATCATACATCTGGTAGAGGACTTGTATCCAGATTACATAAAGAATTCTTAAAACTCAATAATAAGAAAACAAATCAAATTTTTAAAAAGGGGAAAATTAAATAGTCATTTCACCAAAGAAAACATACAAATGGCTAACAAGCACATGAAAATGTGCTCAACATCATTAGTCATTTGTGAAACGCAAATTAAAACCACATTAAAATATCACCTACACTCAGTGGAATGGCTATAACCAAAAATACTGATAATACTGCAAAAATATATTGAAACTACAGCCTTTTTACACTGCTGGTGGGAAAGCAAATGATATAGCCACCTTAAGAAACAGTTTGGCAGTTTTTATAAAGCTAAACATACTTACCATATCTCGCAGCAATTCCATTCCCAGGTATTTACCCAAAAGAAATGAAAATGTGTGTCTACAAAGACTTGAATTTAAATGTTCATGGCAGCATTACTCATAAGAACCCCAAACTGGAAACAATACAAATGTTCATCAATTGGTGAATGAATAAACATGTAGTATGTACATACAATGGAATATTACTCAATAATAAAAAAGAACAAACTATTGATACATGCTAAAATATGAATGTAACCCCCAAACATCAAATTTCTGTGTTTTTAAGCCAGCTGGTCGATGGTACTAGTTACAGCAGCCCGAACTGACTGAGACAGCCTCAAACCAGAAACAATGGAAATGCTCGACAGTAGAAGAGATACTAAACAGCAGTATATTGATTCTATACGGTAAAAATGAGGACAAAGTATTGATACATAAACAAACAAACAAACAAGAAACAGATGAATCTCAGGCATGTGAATGAGGGAAAGAAGCCCGACACAGAAGTGTATGCACTGAACAAGTCTATTTATACTAAGTTTGAGAACAAGTATAACTAATACTTTGTTATAGAAGTTAGGATAATGGTTACCATGATGGGGTGCTATTGATTGGGAGGCTAGAAAAGTTTTATAGCTTGATATAGGTGGTGGTTAAAATATGCATATGTAAATATGCAAAATTTATTAAGTGGTACAGTTAAGATGTATGCATCTTGTTGTCATATATAGTATACCTCAAAATAGCTATTCTTAGAAAAAAGTTCAGGCTTTGGACTTCTGCTTCTGCGTAGGGTAGAGTTATTTGTGGTAGATCAATGCTCTCACTGAGGACACATAGAAAAGCTAGATATAATACAGAAATAATTTGTTTAAAGGCATCAGAGAACTGCTGAAACAGTGAGGACTAGAGGGGCTAAAATTCTGCAGAGGGAGAGTCATAGAGAAATGAGCTGAAAATCTGCAGTTGATTTTTTTTCCCCTGGGGACATGTGCTCATTCTAAGCATGGACAAAAGGCTGGGAGTTTGAGCTCCGTCTGGATAAGAAGTCACTGCTGGTCACACAAAAAATGCTCTGCTAGTCACAATATGAATGAACCTTAAAAATATGCTAAGTGAAGGAAGCCAAACTCAAAGGACAACATGTTGTATGGTTCCGTTTATATAAAATGCCCAGAAGAGGCAAACCTATAGCGTGATGAGCAGATCAATGGTTGACTGTAGCCAGGTTTGGATGGCAAACAGGCACAAGAGTGCTTTGTCAAGTACAAGCAGAGCATTTAGGGGTCTTAGTGGTGGTGTTGGGGTGAGGAGGGTGAAGAAATAAACCTGGGTACTCGAAGGGTCTCAAATGTACAGCTGTTTTCTCCTCCAGACATTTTTCAGAATTCTGAGACTCTATGGTTGGAGAGGCACTAAGCCAGAAACTCTGTAGAGCTTTCCACAGTCTTTTTCCTTCTTTTTAGTGGCTCATAGAGACAAACGTGAAAGAGAAAGCAATAAATCTTTGAGAAGGAAACACAGAAGAGTATCTTTGTGATCCTGGGGTAGGCAAAAATTTCTTAAATAAGACCCCAAAGCATTAACTATAAAGTAAAAATCTGGTATACTACGCTACATTAAAATTGAGAATGTCTGTCTTTAGTCAAAAGACAGCACTAAGAGAATGAAGCGGTAACCCACAGTGAGAAAGAATGTATTCATGAGTATCTATTTGCAAAGACACATATACAGAATATGTAAAGAACCTCTAAAAATCACTAAGAAAAATCCAAACAACCCCATAGAAGAGCAAGCCAAAGACTAAAAAGGGCATTTCATAACGAGGATATCAAAATGTTCAGTAAACATATGAAAGGTGTTAAACTTCAAGGGTCATCAAGGACATATAATTAAAATCACCATATGATACAGTACAAACCTGCCAGAATGGCTAAAATGGAAAAGCAGACAATACCAAGTGCTGACAAGGATGTGAAGCAACTAGAACTATCATACACTGTGGGAGTGAAATTTCATTCAAGAACTTTAGAAAACTGTTAGGTAGTTTCTATTAAAGCTAATCACATGACAATCCTATGACCCACCAATTCCACTCCTAGGAATATACCTTATAGAAATACATATGCTCATCAAAATACATGAACAAGAATATTAATAGCAACACTTTTTGTATGAGCCAGAGATTGGAGCAAATACCCATTAGCATGGTAGAATGGATAAATGAGTTATACAATCTATCTATACCTATATCGATCCATATCTATCTGTCTATTTAATTATATATAAAGAAATATACCAGTGTGAAAATAATGATTATCTCTGTAAAGTAAGAAGGGGAAATTTCCATTTTCCTCTCTAAAGCCACTTTCTAAATTTATCATGAGGAGTATAAATTGCTTTTATAATCAGAAGAAGTCATTAAAATAAAGAACACTCAAATTTATCAAGTTCCTACTATTTGTTAATAAGTCCTCCATGCACTATTTCCTTTAATTTCAACAATCGCCCAGGAGGAAGATATAGGAGAGAGATCAAGACCAGAGGCTTTGGAACAGTAGTAAAATGATATTGCTGGCGGAACAATGATAATAGCTACCGTGTCTGAATTATGTATTTAATCCTTACAACATTTCCAGAAGTCAGGTGTTATTTCAGCCTCATTTTACAGATGAGGACATGGAAAGTCAACCTGGCCAAAGTCTGATTCCATTTTTGAGCACTGGCAGTCACCAGTACACCGCCACCTACTGCCCTCCAAACCTAGGTTCATGTTTGACTTTGCTGCTTACCTGCTGGGTAACTGTGGGCAAGTTATTTAACTATGGGAGTTCTCTTATCTGAAAAATGGGTTGATAACAGGACCTACCTCATAGGATGGTAAAAATAAAGGAGATAACTTGGTTAAGTGATAGCTTTGGGACCTGAGTCTACATCCTCCACGTCTCAGAGCCCCTACTCTTGCCAAGGTGCTTCTGCTCACTGTAAGGCAGCACAAAGAGGAGCCTCCTGATCAGCTGCTTAGAGCTCAGGTCGGGATGGAAGCATTTTCAAGCCACTGAAATTATGCCGCTCAGTCAACTTGCTGTCCTAATACCAAGTCTGGGAATGTAAACTTTTCACTCATTTTCCCCAACAACTATGTACTGAGTGCCAACTATGAGCCTTTCTGAATATCCCAGAAGAGCACTGATTGGAAGGGAGAGGAAGGAAGAAAGGCAAAGATATTTTTGGAGATGGTTCATGGATGTAAACAATCTAAACCATTTCTTCTCCCTCGATTCAATATCTCTTGGTTTCTTGGTTTTATCAGTCTCTCAATTTCATTGATTCTACGTCTCACAGCATCTCTGTTCCTCCTATCCAGGTGCACAGTGCCAGTTGGTGGTGGTGGTTCAGACTTCACTCTTACCCAGACCATTGCATCCTACCTGCTCACCTCTCTGGCCACAACATCACCCTCGTATCCTTTCCCGAAGCCTGAGCAACCTTTCTAAAACTCAAAGTTGACTATGCTTTTCCCCTATTTAAAATAATCATGTCCCTCCTGCATTGCTATAGCTTACACAACCCTTCACATTTATATTTCCAGTCCTATCTACCCCCCACCCCATCTCTCCATTGTTGTCTCCAGCCCCAGCACTTTATTCTTTCACAGTTCAAATCACTGTAGTTCTCCCTCAGTACTCCCTGAAGTTCTGCTGACTGTATCCCCTAACATCGCTGGAATCCAACTGGAGATCTCCTATGCAGTCTTCAAAGCCCTTTCATGGGTGACCCCCTCTGTGAAGCCTCAGCAGTTTTCCCTCCTTTGAGCTAAACTGGCATCTTGTTCACCTTACGTGTGATCACACTCTAGGGAAATCATCATTTGAGCCCATGTCTGCATCCCCTGGACCACAGGGTCGGTGGGTGGGTCAGGGGGAACACTGGTGTCAAACAAGGTGGAAGGGTGAGATGAGGTCAGCACTTTCTGGGGCTATCCCTTCCTAACAGCCTCCCTACCCCATCCCTGCCAGAGCCCCACATCCCTTCTCCAGTCCAGAGGGCCCTTTACCTCTGCAAGTCTCGCAGATTACAGGATTCATTCCCCGACTGTGTACATTTTGGGAAGCACTTAGCAGTGTCCTTAAGGCTGAAGTCATCATACCGGTTTTTATTGATTTGCCCCTGGCAGACATTTCGTGGCATTTCATGTCTGATTGTGGATCTTTTCTCACCTAAGGGAGGGATGCAGAAAGTGAATGGGCTGCATGGGGGTGGGCCACAAGAGTAGGGAGTAGGGGGGAAGGAGCTCAGGATCTAGAGTCTGGTGGTGTGGCTAGATCCCCAGCTCCATCCATCCACACTAACTGTGAACTTGAGCTGGACTCATACACTCCCCAGACCTCGGTTTCCCACGTGAAAGGAGATACTTCCCCCCATCTCACAGGGCCAGTGGGATGCTTTGGGGAAAGTGTACAAAAGGTCTGGCACATGGCTATGTAGATAAAAGATTTCATTTTAGTGCAGGTCCCTTTTAGTGCCTTCTCCAGGAAGTCTGCCTGGATTTTTGCAGTTGTACCACATCAGACTTTCCAAACCCTTGCAACTGTGGCTCATGGTATAACACTAGGACACAGTCTGTTTTAGTTTGCCTCATTCTCCCACATTCCCAGTACAATCCTCAAGGCTACCTCCTCGAGTGGGTCGAGAATACAACAAAGTGAGGCTCCCTGGAGCGTAGCAACTGAGCAAGGTCACCAGCTAGTTGGAGGCTCCAGGTCTAGAGATTAGCTTTCATGACTCCTTTTACCTGGTACAGGGGTTGGAGTGGAAGCTTTGGGTCACTTACTAACTGTGTGACTCAGGTTGGTTACTTAAACTCTCTGATAAATGAGGCTGATAATACCTTTCTTGCAAGTTGCGGAAGAAGGGGGGAGGGTATTGCTCAAATGGTAGGGCACATGCTTAGCATACATGAGGTCCTGAGTTCAATCCTCAGTGCCTCCTCTAAAAAGTACATACATACATAAGTAAACCTACCTCCCCCTCAAAATAAATAAAATTTAAAAAAAAGAAAGTTATTTAAAAAATAGTTGTGGGGAGGATTAGAACTCATATGCATTAAAGACATAGCTCATTGTAGGTGTTCAAAGAGCCAGGATTACTTTTTCCGGGAGGTGAGAATTGCATTGTAAAACTGTGTGAATACTCCTGTATTTATGTTGGATGGATGGATGTGTCTACATATTTATCTCTCAACAAAAGTAATACATACACAGAGTTTTTTTAAAAAAATTAAACGGTACATGAGGACATAAAGTAAAAAGTAAAAGTCCCTGCAGCTCTCAGGTCACACTCCAGAGCTCACTGTCTACAATGATTTATTGCACAACTTTCCAGGAAATTGCTATGCATATGCAAGTATCTTTATGTAAGTCATTACAAAATTTACATGAATGGGACCCCTTAGCAATACATCTTGAAGAGCTTTCCGCAGCAGCACATGTGAATCCATCTCATTCTTTATGTATTTGCTACTATTCCAGTATATGCGTGTTGCAATACTTTTCAATTGGTCCCCTGTCAATGGACATTTAGGGGTTTATTTTGCTTGTTTTTACTATTTTGAATAATGCTGCCTGTGTCTTCGTCAGCTTATGTTAAGAATTCATAGAAAACATTCCTATCCTTGGAATCTCTGCATCAAAATGTACAAGCATTTAAAAATTGCTAGCTATCATCAAAGTTCCTTCTTAAAGGGGCTACCCCGATTTACACTTGCACCATAAGTGGGGGCAAGAATGACTACTTACCCACATGCTTATAGTCCTAGACTTTATCAGAGTTTCAAATCTTTACCAGTCTGAGGGGTAAAATTGAATTTCATTTTAATTTAAGAAGGAGTTTGAGCATCAATTTATATGTCTTTTTCCATGAGCTACTTTGTCATATCCTTTATGGGTGGGGAGTCATTGACAATCTGCCCCTTTATGTTTCCAACTGGCACACCAGGAACTGGGGGTGGAGGGGGGCTACCTCTGGGATGTGCTGGGGGCGAGGTGGGCAGGGAGACATTTTCATTTTTTCACACCCTTCCCCAGTGTTTGATTTTTTAAAAATCATGTGCAATATTATTTTCACAGTAGATGAAACTAGTTCAATTTTAATGAAATACATGGTAAAGATTATGGCAGACCAAAATTAGAGTAAATGTAGGGAAAAAAGGAACATTCTTGATTGGATTTTACGTGTCACATCAGATCTATAGGTGACAATGTTTAAATTTTCTGTTAGATTGTAAAGATATTCAGGATACATTGTTTAATGGGAAAAGCATCTGATAGATGAGCATGTATATAATACGGTGCATGTTTGCTTTTTAAACAAAGGAGGACAAGAGAGAAGAGGGAAGGATGAAAAAGAGACAGGAGAAGGGCAGGGAGGAAGAGGAGGGAAGGAAGTTGTCAGCTGGAGGGGAGGTACCACTCTATAATCCTAGCCCTCTGCGTGCCAGAGGGGGCTACAGACGGGCGCTGGGTGCAGGGGGCACCCTGTGGATATAAACAGTCTCCCTCCCGGCCTGCCATGAAATTTCAAGGACCTTGCATATGTGAAGATCTTGGCAAGTACCTGGTGCAGAGATTATGAAATATCTTATTTGCATTACTTTCAGAAGATGTTAGAAGCAGCCCCTAGTCTAGACAGGGAGAGCCTGAACCAGCCCTGGGTGCGAGATGGTGCCCCTCCGCCCCTCCAGGCCTGCCCTGCACGTCTCCATCCTGCTCTGCCCCGGGGGCTGGACTCCAAGGACCACCTCCATCTGGGTTCACATGGGGAGTGGGCCAGAGGGCAGAGGGTGGTAGGAGGGCAGGGAGGTACTTACCATCACTACTGCTCAACACCAGTGGCCTGCTTCTCTCTACCACCAGCCACAGCCTCTTCTCCCTGCTGACAGTCCTGGTGTGTCCCTTGTAAAGTGTCCCTTTATTGAAAAGTGTGCCTGCCTCCTGCTGGGCCCCCACCACACCCTGGACTCCTTTGAAGCACCCCTGTCACTGTACTAGACTGTGAGCCCCTTGAGGGCAGAGACCACATGGTACCAGCACAGGGCCTGATACTGCATAGAGAGCCCCAGCAGTGCTTCTGGAACAAATGAATGAATGAATGAGCAAACGAATGCACAGCAACTACCCATAAACTTCCACAAAGGAAGGAGACTCACCTCTAGCTAGAAACCTCTCAGGGCTCCTCACACCATTCAAATGCCTGAACCAGAGCACCCACGTCACCATAGGATAAACTCCATCACATGGGGAGGCCTTGAAGGCCCAGCCAGAGAATCTGAAGTTTTGTGAAGGACCAAGGTCCCTGTGACGCCCACCGAGACTGGCCGAGAGCCACCCTTGGTAGTGAAGCTCATTAATCCACCAAGGGCTGCCCGGTGGCCTGCCGTGCCCGGGCCCTCCCCTCACTGCCAGGATGGCATTGCCGGTTGTCATGCCTTTTTGAGCCTTAGATTGAACTTTGTGTTTCCCTGAGTCTCCCAACATTTGAAGGGAATTGGGTTCTCTGAAGGCCAAAGAGGTCGATTCATGTGCCTACAGCCACACGACTCCCTGCTGAACACATACACAGGGGGTGGGGGTGGGGGACAGGCATGAAAGTTTCTCACAGAATCAAGAGCAAAACAGGAGGAGCACTCAAGGCACGGAGATGGGAGCAGCGCAGAGGGAGCACCGACCTCTGCCTGAGGGGAGCATCGCCGATGGCAGCACACCCAGCGGCCCAGAAGGATAAATGAGAGCTGGCCAGGTGGGCCAGGGTGGGGAACAGCTTTCCCCAGAGAGAGGCAAGGCCAAGGCCTGGGGTCCTCAAGCTGCCCTAGAGAACCACCACATGGGCACGTGCGTGGCCGAGAGTGAAGGGTCAGGAAGAGTCTCGTTCTTGGCTTGAGTAACTGAAGACGGCAGGGATGAGGCAGGGCATTGTGGGGACAGGGAGGGAGAGCCCGCATGGCAGGGGGGCAGGTGGAGGTGTTGCAGGGAGCCTCCAGAAGGTCCCTAGCCCCTTCCCTGGGGGCCCAGAGGCCGGCTGAAGAAGAGCTTATCTGGGGCCCATCCATGACCCTGAGCCAGGCCTGTGAGGGAGCTACAGCCTGAGGGACTGGGTGGGGGAGCGGTCTCCATGGACCCCACCTCCAGGGCATTGTGGGGAAGCAAAGGGGACCCAAGACCCAGTGCTGATCACATTTTATCAGGACAGCAGGACTGACCCAGAGGTCAGGGAAGGTGCTAAGGCTGTCAGGGTGGGCTCCTCAGAGGACATGCTCTGGACACCCCCACTCCCTACCCTTCCCTGTCTCTGTGCCTGGGTCTCCCAGGCTTGGCAGGAGCGGGTAGGGAACCAGCTGCTCACCTGAGGCCAGGTGCAGGAGAAGCAGGAGAAGCAGGACGGCCAGGGCCCGGGGCGTCACCATCCTTGGCCAGCTTGTTGACACTGGCCCTGCAGCTGTGCGGCCCTCTGGTCACAGGCTCTGCTGAGCCGGCCTCCTCTCCCCGCCCCTCCTTCCCCTCCACAGTGTCGCTGCTTCCTGTGGCCTCTTTCTCGCCCTTCTTGCTCCATGGCACCAACAGTTGGGTTGTGAAAGGTGAGTGTGGGGAACTGGGCAGTATTCCTAGCCTCACCCCACCCCTGACCAGCTGTAGAGGGGGCCAGACTCAGCAGGAGCTGCTGAACCCACCCAGGGGTGCTACTCCCAGGGCCTCATCTGGGTGGGCGCTGCAGGGCTGGGGTCCAGCAGGGTCCTGGGGAGTGGTGATAAGCTCGGGCTTTGGAGTCAGGCACACTTACCTCAGATGCTCCTTTCACAAGCTGGGGGCCTCTCTGAGCCTTAGTTTCCTCCTCTGTAAAGCGGATACAGCAATGGGGCTGCCTCCTACGGCTGGGTCAGGGTTTGAGGAGACCCGTGACATGCCAGGCACACAGCCTGGCTATAGGGATGAGGAAGAAGCTGTGGAGGGCATTCACAGTCCCTCATTCAAGTCCATGCCGGCTAGGGGCCTGGGAAGGAGAGGAGCCAGGCCTGAGTGGCCCAGCGCCGCACACTACCCACCACCCCCACCAGCAGACTGAATAACAGGAGAGGCAGGATGGCGGGGGACAGGAGCATGGGCCCTGCGGGTTGGTCAGGCCTGGGCTGACATCCGTCCCAGCCACTTCCTGGCTGCAGGAGCTTGTGTGAGCTGTCTGCTGCTACAAGTTTCTCAAAGGCAGGGGGAGAACTCATGAGATGATGCCTGTGGAATTGCTCAGTAAGTGGGCCTGGCCATTATTATTACTATCATTTTATGACTATCAGTTCTGTGAAATTATTGTCGTCATCGTCCGGCTGGTCACAAGTGGCCCAGGCGGGAAGTGGGGGGAGCAAACACATACGGGATGCAGTACGTGGGAAGGGGAAGGGCCGACCTCTCGGGCCCCAACTCTGGTGGCCCCAGGGAAGCCATGTGGATGAGGTCAGAGCCCTTGGCATGGTCCTATGGCCACTGTGAGGTCAGAATGTGGAGGGCACGCCGCCAGGGATGTACATGGTCATCAGCATCTGCTTGCCCTGCTCCACCTTGGGGACCCGCTCAGCCCCGATGGCCTCTATTTCCCCTTCCTCCCCTACTGTGTCTGGACAGGACTCAGCCTCCTGCTAGGCCCTCTGGGCCTTGGGAAGGTTGAGGAGGGAATGTCAGGGTCACTCATGGGGTGTGGGCAGCAGATAGGAATCTGGCCTGGAGCCCCAGGCTCTTCCTCTGCAGGGAAGGCTGGGAGGGCAGATGGGAACCACTGGGCCTGCCCCTCCTCCCTCCCAGCCACAGGCCACAGAGAGGAGAGATGGTGGACAAGGGCTTTGTGAACTAGGACCTACTAGGCCCAGCACTGGAGACCCGTCCTGGCACCTGGGCCCTCAGAGGGGCTCACAGGTGCCTGTTTGTGAAGGAGGGCCTAGAGAGCTGCAGACTGGGACCCAGAGTGCACAGCACACCTAGGAAACCAGGACAGAGGCTGGGAAAGTGGCAAGGGGAGGTTAGTCAGGGCCAGAGTAGGGCCACCTTATCTGGGCCACACAGGGGCCAGGGACTGGCTTGGAGCCACTTAGAACACTGGGAATTTCCCCGAATTCCAGGGAAAACAGAACTATATCTTCCTCTTCTGCCCCTCCCACCCCTAGCTTATCCAAAGGGCTCTAGGTGGACTCCTGCCTCCAGGCACAAAGCCTCCAGTCCTCTGGCCAGGCCCAGCCAGCATCCACCCCCACCCCCCGGCTGTTCCAATCCATTTCCCAAGTGAAAACGATGTCTCCAGACACAACCCTGGCCATGTTCTGGTGGGAAGAGTGGTCCTGTTGTCCGAAGTCCCACAGCCCAGAGAAGCACATGACAAGAACCTTCAGGGTCAAGGAGCACCACAGAGCCATCTGGTGGCCCGTGCAGGGCCTGTCACAGAGGACGGAATCCAACCAGGGACCCTGCCCCCACTACCTGACTTGGCCTTGAAAATAGAAACTGGTTGTTCAAGAGTGTTCTTTGAAGTGGGAGAATTTGAGGGGAGTGCTATCTGCCTGGGGGAGGGGACTGGGTCCTTTCCTTCTCTCCTTGAGGATCGGGGAAGGTGCCCCCTCAGGTCTAGCCAAGTGATGGGATCTGAGGGACTGTCTCGCAGAGACTGAGAGGTGCATGAGAGGGGAGCTGGCACTGATCCCAGCAAGCTGCCCAATCAGGACACTGTGGGGACCGTTTGTCCTCTGTCCTCAGGGGTTGGGGCATAAGAGAAGCCAGCCACCAGGAGAAAGGTGGAGGCAGAGGCCAATGGGAGAAGCAGAGGAGGGGTTGGGAGAAAGGCAGGGTGCAAGGGGTTCCCACATGCTGAGGTCCTTGCAGGTCCTCAAAGATCCCACGCTCGTGCCTGTCACATCACTGCCACTCCATCCCTGCCCACCAAGGCGCTTCACACCCATCCAGTCCCACTCCAGAGACCTGTGCCTCTTTCCCTCCGCAGCCTGTGCACACCCCGCCCCTCCTGCCCCCAGAGCAGCCAGGACAGGAGGGAGGAGACTGTGAGGCAAGAAAGCTCAGATGTGGGCCTGGGGTTAGACCTGCACTGGACCTTTAGACCTGGACCCAAAGAGCCATGATCAAACAAGACTGCTCTCATAACTGAAAGGGGACAGAAACCTGTGCTATCGGCCTCACCTGTGTCACTGGATGGAGAAAGGAGATTTGATGGCACAAGGTTGAAGAGAGTGACGGGAGAAAGTCCATCGCTTCATCGTTGCAGCCCACTCACTTCACACTGGTCAATAAGCTGGTTACATATGCCATGTGACCAGCCAAGGGCTGAACTCAGAAATGTGATTTCTTTGACTAGCAAATTTTTAGATTAGTCAAAATTTTTAAATTGAGATTTTACATCAGCACAACCTAGATTTCTCATTTCTCATAAAAAGGCAGGCAGTCTGGCTACATCACCCCTGCAAGGTGGTGACTGGCTGGAGCTGAACAGCAGCCGCTTCCTTAGCATAAGTCTTAGAACCTCCATTTTGCCACAGACCCCACCACTCCCATTGCCTCTCCAACGCTGACACCCAGTTGCCATTTATCCTCCCCTTGCCCTGATAACATTTCCAGCAGATTTCTTTCACATGTGGCTCTCTTCTCTTGCTCATGTTTCCCGACTGGCCCCAAGTTGTTTGTATCAGGGATTCTTAATAGAAGCACAGAAAAATCTCAGAAGGAAATGTCCCAAAAGGTTTGTGTTAGTTGGTTAGGTGATAACAGTTGATTTTTATTTTCTTCTGTGTACTCTTCTACAGTTTCCAAATTCTCTACAATGGACATGTACTTCTTTTTAATATCAAAAGACAAACGAACTGGTAATTACAAAGAAAATCCTCCCCATCTTTAAGGCTGAGATCCAGATCAAATGCTGCCTCCTGCAGGAAGTCTTCCTGGATTCCCAGCCAGGAATGATGGCTCTCTCAACCCTGTGCCGGAAATTCCAAGAGTTCTTGTCTCACATATGCCGCCCACACTAGATGAACTTACAGGGGAACAACCAGGTCTGGCCATCTGTGTCCAAAGGAATAACTGTGATGGGCTGCAAAATGCTCAAGATTGTCTACAAGGGTTTTGAGATGACCTCTTAGGAGTTCATCAGGCTCTAAGCCACTATCACCAGGAGAGGCGTGCCTTGGTCTTTGGAGTGCTGGAGTGGAAATAAATTTGGACTGCTATGTTCCACAGTTCTTGCCACAAGAGGTTTTCGGGAGAAGCCATAGGCTCCTGCGAGGTGTGAGCTTGGCAGTGGTGAGCAAGGGTGATGCAGCTTATAGAAAGGCCAAGATGGAAAGATGGACCTAGCCCAGCCCACAGTGTCTATACTAAGCCTGAGTCAGGGGCAGGCAAAGGCCCACACAGTAGATAAAGGTTATACAGCAGGCACCAGGCAGCTCTTGGGAACAACCACCCAAAATCCAGCATTGGAACTGGGGACACTGGGCTATGAGTAGAGGAGTAGGGAGGTCCTAGGAGAGAAAGGGAGGACCTGGAAGAGGAGAGGGAGGTCTGGGAGGCTGACAAAGGCGAGGGCCCTGGGCTCAGAGGTAGAGGAGCTGACGCTGTGCTCTGGGGAAGGAGCTCTCCTCCTCCAGGGATCTAGCTCAAAGCTCTGCCCCAAGCCATTTTCCTTGCATGGCATCCTTAGGTTAAAATGACAGGGGCTACAGAGTGCCCTCATGGTAACCATCAAAGACAGAGTGGCTATGGTACATTTCTGTCCTGGGCAAGGGCATGGGGCCAAGGACATCACCAGTCTCCAAGGTACGAGGCCTGCAGACTCCCGACCCCCAGCCGTGAGGGCCGGTCCAGTGGTGGTACGTTAAGATCAGGCTTCAGCCCCTGGCTAGGATTGCCGGGGGATGGTCCCACACTTGAGCCCCTGTGAGCTGGACCCAAGAGCCAAGTAGTCTCCCAGCCAATTCAGAAGGCCCAGCCTGAGAATCTGGCTGTCATGGCAACAGCTCCACCCCTCCGAGGTCCTCGGGCCTTCTCAAGTCTCCGGCTGGCCCACCAAGGGCTGGGCCTGGCTGCAGAGGCCACAGGCAGCGGTGAGGAGAGCAACTGTGCTTCCTGACACTGGCAGGGGGCCTGGTGGCCTAGATGCGGCTGGACGAGGTGCTGCCGGAGCTGATGGGGAGCCTGGCGCTGTCAGAGCTGTTCTTCAGAGGGGAGGGCCCGCCCCGGGCCTGCAGACGCATGGACCAGTACCAGAGGAAGATGAGGAAGCCTGTGGGCAGTGAGGGGGCACAGGCCTCAGAGGCTGGGGCAGTCCCACCCCAACCCCATTCCCTTCCAGAGCCACCTTGACCCAGATCTCCTCCTGCCCTCCTCCCTACACAGGCTCCCCGCACCGATGTGACCCTGGGAGCACCTTCTATGTGCCAGGCACTGGGCAGTTCGCTGTACATCACCTCACTTTACTCTCTCCAGGTTCCTATGAGGTCAGGCCTCATCATTACTGTTCTGTTTTACAAATGAGAAACTGAGGCACAAGGAGATCAGGGCACTTGGCTGAGCCAGGAGTCAAGCAGCAGTGGTCAGGCTTTGGAGCCACCTGCTTAAGTACCTTGTGCTATTGCTCCTCCCCAGATAATGATACTGCGATTTATTAATAGCTCAGTAAATGCTTGTGTGAATTTGTGAGCATCATTTATAATCCTGGCAGAGTCCCCTTCACTTGGGAGGGAGGTGAGAAAACAAAGACTCACCTCCCTCACACCCCACTCCATTGCATGGGGTCCCACAGGGGCCTTGCCTTCCCTGTTTTCCTACCCAAGTCCTCCTCCCAACCCAGCACAGCCAAGCACAGAGATAGGTGTGTGTGTATGAGTGTGATGTGGGGGGCAGGGGTGGAGGGGTGCAGGTAGAGCAGGAAGGGACCCTGCTGGCATCAAGCCAGGCCCTCATGCTCCAGCCCCTCTGCCTCTC